CAATTGTAGACAATTTAAGGGGAATGTTTTAATAATCTTTTTTTGAATAGAGCATGGAGCTAAATAAAAAAAAAAAATTGAATGGCATGCAATTAAATGAATGATAACATTAAGAGCTGTGTTATGCTAACTGGTTTAACTCCTGCATTAACTCAATTCTGTGTTGTAATGCTCCCTGGTTGTTGTTTGGGTCATTTAGATGATTTTCACCCATATCTTCGTGGTATTCTTCAATAAGTTCATCATCATTGAGAATGCAGATGTTATGCATAACACAGGCACTCAATGTACCATTCACAATTAATTGCATGTCATTAGCATGAAAATCTCTCAATTTTCGAAACCTACCCTTAAGTTGGCCAAAAGCTCGCTCAATGGTTTGTCGGGCTCTTGAGAGTTCATAATTAAATAGTTTTTGTGCTCTACTCAAGTTACCATAATCACGGAAAGGTGTAAGTAATTTAACTGAAAGTGGGTAGGCACTATCACCAACAAGATGTGTATTAGGTGGCATGATAACATCAAGAGACCCAAAGAGTGGAGAATTTCTCCAGACTCTGGCGTCATGTGTGCTTCCAGGCCATCCTGCATAAACATCAATAAACAATAATCTAGAATTACATACTGCCTGTAGAATGATAGAGTGAAATTTCTTTCTATTTGTATATGAATCTGAATTCAAATGGGGGCTTTGATTCTAATGTGTGCTCCATCAACAGCACCCAGGATTGAATGGAGCCTTGAAATGTGGCCATACCACTGTATGGTCCGGTTTCTGGTGTCTGTTGCATGTGGCCATTTGATGTAGCGTGGCATCAACTTCTCAACAACTACCTTGTTTATCCTTTTCCAACATGTATGTATAGTTGAAAGTGACACTCCAAATCTATCGGCTATGGATCTGAATGTTTCATTATTCCCTAAAAAAAATTTGGTAACAATAAATATTTTTATAAAAATTAGTACAGGGGTGGTATTTAAACAGGATATTGCAAATGGAGGGATAATGCTGCAGATATGTAATTTTCAGGAAAAATCTGTACTCTTATAAAGGATTTGTGACTACAGTCGAAAACAACTATTTTCACTGGCATTTATTTTAATACTTTAATATATTTTGTGATCATGTTCACATATATTTCAAGTTCACATAACTGTAATGGAAACAAGGAGTTTTACTATTTTACATATTCATATTTATTTATTTATTTATTTATTTATTTATTTATTCATTTATTCATTTATTTATTCATTCATTCATTTATTCATTTATTTATTTATTTATTTACAACATCCCCCGGAGGGGATGAAAAGGGTTACAAATCAAATATTAGTAAAAGAAAAATAACTACATATTAATTTAATCATGGAGCTTCTATGAAAACACATTATTGAGCAAATTTCAATTAATTATATAATACTTGGACTAAACAACTAAAAAAAAATATTGTGACAACAGTTCCTATGTATTACAAACTAGGCTATTTCGAATAGGATATTGGGAGAGACTGATGTTAAAGATAAAAAACATGTACACATCAAAACTAGAATTGACATGCTTATCTGTTCCCTCGATTTATAATGCCCGTTCAAACACCGAAACACAATTTGGGACAATTACTAAAATAAAATAAACTTACCTAAATACCACAGAAAAATCAATAACTGTTTCTCTATGGTAACTGCCACTTTTCCCCGCATCCCAGGCAAGTCGGGTTCAGGCAATGCGTTATAATTCATAAGCAGCTATAACATAATAAAAGTGGGTCTGAGATGTTTACTTCCGCTTGGGTCATGAACTTAGTGTAAATTTACATAACAGCTGTAACCAATGAACGAATGAGTGCAAATAGGAAATTTGCACATGTAAACAAAAGTTTAACTCACGTTTAAAATAATATCAAAACTCGACCTTTCCAACCTAAAGTGGCTTTTAAAGTCATCTGGTTCATATTGCGGAACAACGGTTTCCGCGTATCCCTGGATGCGCGGAACTGCTACTCTTCTCGCAAATAGCAGCCCAAATGCATCGTCATTATTCATGATGAGAGCCAATATTAGCATCTCAGTTTGCTGCACAAATATTGGCACCAACACTCCTAAAATACGACGAATATGTTCACGGTCTGCCATTTTGTTTAACTGACCTTAGTTCCTCGAGGCAGTTAATTGTGTTCTTTTATTTCCTTGCCTCGAGGCACCTCGAGCTGACTCGAGGCAAGGTTTCTACGTCACTCTGGGCGCCCCGAGGCGAATAATCGAAAACGCTCCACTTGACGCAGTAACGCGCGCTTGTGGTATTCTATTATTCTAGTCGTTACGCGTGTTTTGTTCTTTTTTTCTACCTCTGGTTATATTGAATGATTACCAAGAACTACGAATACCTACTACAATTCCCGATTCCCGAATTACTGTCAGATGCGATGTAATTCTATCCACCTAGCAATGGGTGAGGGTAGGACAAAAACATAAAAAGTCAAAAAAGAACCGGTAGACATGCCACCCGGAAGGAGTCAGCGGCATATTTTAAACAGTTTTCTAAAGATAGCGGAGTGAGTGTGGATGGGTACAAACGAGGGCAGCTAGAAGAACTATTTAAGAAAGCTGAGAAACGTGGATTTATAGTTGAAAAAGATTATTTTTCAAAAAAAATAGACTGAAATAGAGATGGTACGTGTGTGTTTCACAGAGTAACTTGTAAGCAACGGTAACAATAACCAAAATACATGTAATTTCAATGGGTGTTCAATACTAGTACAGTACTATAAGAATAATAAACCTAATTGATTTCCATGGAAACGTTCATGACTGGCATTGTTGGAAGGGAAAAGGTATCACTTTGTCAGAATACCATACTATACAAGGCCTAATCTTAGACTTGCTTGCAGTCTGTTGCGATTCCGATGAAAAATTCTTGAAAAATAAATATAAATTGCGTAAACGAGGGGTGAACGCGAAAGTCATATCACCGCGAAATCCCAACAGACTTTAGTCTGGTCCCCTGCCCCAATTTCAACGCTGAGGGCAGGGGACCAGACTAAACAGTGTAAGCGCCCTCACATTACCGGCCAGATTCGGGCTTGTAAATTTGCATATACGTCATACCGTAGGTGGAGCAGCCAAGCCACGGATCATAACAATAAACCGGACATAATATTGCACGTTTTTTTCGAAATTCAATCTAAAATAAAATGGCATATGCGATTCGGATATGAGAAAGTAGGTAAAGCTTTCGGGATCTAAGTTTATCCAAGAAAGTGTGTATGGTTTCTGGGGTCTCAGTTGATATGTTAATTAGCATGTCTTCTGATTGGTTGAAACATATTAGACATGTCATTCATTACACGCCCGAATCTGGCCGGTAATGTGAGGTCTGTTGGGATTTCGCGGTCACATGGCTTTCGCGTTCACCCCTCGTTTACGCAATTTATATTTATTTTTCAAGAATTTTTCATCGGAATCGCAACAGACTGCAAGCAAGTCTAGGCCTAATCTCTGCAATACCAGATGACTAGAGAGAGAACATTCATGCTAATACCCATGAGTGGTCAGATTTTCAAAACAAATTCAGATGGAATTGTAAGTATGTTGCAATTACGGCAATACACTGACAAGCAAAAAGGTGTATAAATCTTTGTGTGAAAACATTATTGAAAAACTAAATATTGCTAAAGACCTTCAACATTTGTAAGGGATAAAACAAAATGTAATTTTCAAACTACCTTTCAAGACAACAATCTCCACAAATCTTAGAGCATTCCAATACAAAATTCTACATAGTGTTCTAACAACTAATGTAAAACATTAGAACACCTATTTGTTAACTGTAATGTTGTAAAAAGACTGTGGAGACAGTTGCTAATATAGCAATATATAATATAGCTAATATTGTTTGTGTTGTCAAAAATATGATTATAGATCTATGTGAACTTGAAAACATATCACTAAATCATTTTATTTATTATTTAAAAATTATGTATACACCTGTAGGGTTCAAAAGGTTCGTCTAACAAAATATGCATATAAAAGTTGGATCAGGGAACATAGAAATATTGAACTACAAATCGCAATAAACAAAAACAAAGAGCTCATCCATTACCAGAAATGGGAACCACTAGATAATTAGGTAGATAATGGGCATATGTAATTGTTTTACCAGATCAAATTTGTATTTTTTTTTTCTTTCTCATATTTTTTCTTTCCATATACCACTATGTAATGTAAGATTTTGTGTGTTGTATGTTTATATTATTGAAACGAAAGAAAAACATTATTTAAATACCAAAAAAAATACTAGTGCAGTACTTAAATTTTCACAGAATAAAATAATTGACATTTTGAATTTCATGGTAG